GCCCTCAACGGCCGCTTCTGCATCAGCATCCACGACGAGGTGCGCTACCTGGTGCAGCAGCAGGATCGGTACCGGGCAGCCCTGGCCCTGCAGATCACCAACCTCCTCACGAGGTGAGATGTGACGCTGTGGTGTCTCCTGGGGACGAGCACTGCGGTGGCAGCAGAGGTGCTGGCTGTGCCTCTGCAGCAGGTTGGTGCAGGGCAGCTTTCTTATGCTTAAGGGATGTTGGCAGCGCTGCAGGTTGTAATTCATTCATGCGTGATGCAGGTGGTTATAAATGGAGCTCGGCTTCCTTTTCCAGGGATAATGTGCTGGCAGGAGGGGGATGGAGTCAGCTTTTGGCTCCTGCAGGGATGGGGTCTATCATTCTGCTCTGCTGGGATGCGAGTGCATCGCCTCCTGCTCCCGTCAGGTCTGTGGCTGTTGCGTGGCAGCAGCTCTTGGCCTTGACTGAACTGCTGGGAGCCTGACACTGTCCCCATCCCTCTTCTCCTCCCATCCCTTGTCTCCCCCTGGCCTTCAAGCAATGGCTTGTCTCTGCTGTGAGCATCAGCACTGTTACCCCTTCCACAGCGTGGGGTGTTCCTGCTGCTTCCCTGCCCCATGCAAAGATAAGCTCATCGTAGAAAGCTCCTGACCTCAAAGGGCTCTCTTCAGTCCGCCTCCGGCACAGCCAAATCCCCTTCCCAGCACTGTGGGGTGTTTGGTTACATGGGAGATGGCCAAAATCTGGCTGTTTTCTCCCGCGCTGAGGCAGGGATAGAGCCTTCCTGTGCCAGTGCAGCAGGCACAGCGGGGCAGACACCCCGAGGTTCCTGCCTTTGTGTCGGCTCCTGTGAGCACAGGGCTTCCTGCTGGGAAAATCCTGTGTCTGCTCTTCCTGGAGGATTAGCCAGCAGTGAAGGGCTGGGCTCTTCCTTCTTTCTGAGGAGGCTCAAAGTGCAGTTACTCTGTTCCTCCCACATCCACTTTAGCACTACTTGACCCTCCTGCTACGCAGTGCTTAAAAGCACCTTGTTTTCCAGCTCCCGAGTGCCATGGGTGCACAGTAACCTGCTCAGTGAAGCTGTGGCTGCTCAGAGCCGGGTGTCACAAGGCTCAGGGTGATGTGTTGGGTCTCTTGTTCTTCCAGGTGCATGTTTGCCTACAAACTGGGCCTCCAGGACCTGCCACAGTCAGTGGCTTTCTTCAGCGCAGTGGATATTGACCAGTGCTTGAGGAAAGAGGTGACCATGAGCTGCAGGACGCCATCAAATCCAAGCGGGATGGAGAAGAAGTACGGCATCCCTCAAGGTGAGTGGTACTTGTGCAAGCCAACCCCTCTGTAATCCCCTCTGCACAGCCCTCCTCAGCTCAGGCAGAGCACTTGGCGTAAGCAGTCATTCCTTGCTTCCTAACCCATGGGCTGCAGCCCACCACCCTGCCACCAGCCCCTTTCTTTCTCAATCCTTGAGCCATATGTACTGCTGCTTCCAGCTATTCCTGGTAGTGGTGAGCTGAGCCTGGCTCTGTTATCCCACACACTGTTGCTTTGTGCTCCTTGGAAAAGAACCCTCCTGCGCTCGTGTAACAGCCCAAGATTAAATTGTTCCTTCTTCGAGGCAGCACCTCAACAACCTTGTTTATTTTGCCCTCAGTGCTTTCTCTCCTTCCCCACTGCTCCTTAGCCCAGCACAACTCTGTTTGGAGAATGGCCTTGGCATTGCCAACCATCCCAAGGCCTAGAGTTAGTTATCCCTGTCTGCCCTCAATATAACCCCCTAACTGCTGCAAGCAAATATTTAACTGTTAGGTTGGAGCTGCTTTTAACCAGCTCCTCCTCAATGTGTGGCCCCTTTATACTAGACAGGGACAAGACCCTGCCCTCAAATTTGTTCTCTGTCATTAGACGTATCAGACATTCCACCTTAGGTAAACTTTATTAGGAGCCTTACAGGCAAAGGGTGGTTTTAGAAACAAGGTTTGTGTTATGTGGGCAAAAAGGGCACTTCTGTTCTCACCAAGTACAAAGCAAATTAAACAAGTGCATCACATAAGGGGCAACAAAAACCTAACAGCAAAACCAGCTTTGCCTGAGGACACTGTCTCCTCTCTGCTTCTCGGAGAGGTGACAGCAGCAACTTCAGCTCCAAGGCAGGACAGTTTGTGTTCCCAGCTTCCCACTGGTGCTGGTTCCTGCGTTCACACCACCACCCAAAGCAAGTTTGAACAAATTGAGGGCTTTTTGTGCTACACACACCGAACTAAAGCAAATCGTGACGGTCGCTGTCATGTTATACAAGGCTCTGAGTGTGCTGCAGCACGCAGGGAACTGATTGTCCCGTTGTCTTCCAGGAGAAGCTCTGGATATCTATCAGCTAATTGAAATTACCAAAGGTTCACTGGAGAAGAAGTGATGATGCCAGAGAGTCAGAATGACAAGTGTCCAGCCTGCGTGCCAGAGCCTGGCTGGCCTTCAGGAGATCTTTGGCAGGGACTGATCCTGGTCACCCTGTTTCCTTTTTGCTGTAAGAAGGGATGCTCCCGGGGAGGATGATGTGATAAGCAGCACGTTAGAAAAGCAGAGATGCTTCTGAGGGCAGCAGCCACCTGTAAAACCTGAGACAAGGGCCAGAGTCGCTGCTTGCACAGCCATGAAGGAAGAAGTGGTAAGTATTTGGCAAGAGAAACAACAACCCATCCTTTCCATACAAGCAGTTCTCCAAGACCAGACCAGGCGCTGTGGGAGGAGGCAGCAGCAACCCCAAGCTTCATTTTCTTCGCTGTCTCTTCTTTTTGGGTTCCTGGTTCTCATCTGCCTGCTCTGCTGTGCTGCTCTGGAGAGGGGAAGGAGAGAGAAGTACAGACTGTGATTGATTGTGTGTGATAGACTAAGGAAAGTTTACCTAAAGCAAGAAACTGGATGTGCAGAGCAGGATTTAGCTCTTTTTCCTCCTAACAATATGGCCTGAATATGGGACTCCTCTCACCCACTGAGACTTTCCCTGTGGACTCTTCCTCAATTCATGCTGGAACTTAGACCACAGTTATCAATGGCACAGGACAGGGACTGCTTGTGCTGGGTTTTGGCTTGTTGAAACACTCAGGAAAATATGGACAAAACCACCAATAAAAACCTGGACAATCAGCAAAGTAAATTGCTTATTTTCTTTTATGCAGCACAGGTTGTGTTACCTTCACCAGCACTATCTCGTAGAGATGGGTCTGAGGATTATGGTGCCTTGCAGAGTTTGTCCTGCCAGCTGCTTATCTACAAAAGTCAACCTGGATGCAAAATCACTGCATCATGCACAAACATTTGATCCTGGCCAGCCAGTAGGTCCTCAGAGATAACACTGACACCTCTCTGCTTGCTGGGGCATTAAGGACAGTCTCACTTCCCTAAGCCCAGAGATAGAGACAACTGGTGCATGGAAAAAAAGGTCACTCAAGGCAGAGGGCTGTAGTGTCGGGGATCACACTGTTCACTCCTTTGCCTACCCTGGGTTAGCTCTCACTTTAATACTAAGCTGATACAAATGTCCTGATTTTACATGCACCTGCACACAGTTGGCCTTAGAAGAGGGGTAAAGCTGTTGGTAAAAGCAGCTAAATGAGTTCTGACCTGGTCGTTGTCGGGCTCGTTTTCAGCATCCTCTGTGCTGTGCTCCTGCAGCGCGCTGTTTAGCATGGATGCATTGATGCGGAAGTCCCGGGAGGTGCTTAGCTTCATATATTGCATCAAGTTCACCTGCAGCAACCAAGGTGAAAATAGGGGGAGAGGACATTATGCCAGCAGCATCTTCATTTAGTTTTCTACCTTGCCTAGTCCTTTGCACTCAGCACTGGGACTGAGTCCATCACAGCGATAACACAGGATTGAAGCAAAAGGTAGGTGAAAACCCACCTGCTCCCACGTGATACAGTGGCCCGTTTGTTTTCCTAAAAGCCAAGTGATTACCAGTTACTCTTATGTAGTACCTCAGCATGGTATGTTTCTCTCCTGCTTATAAACAGGCTGGGAAAAAGGGATGAGGAAAGCTGTGGAAGTTTCTGCTCAACCAGAAGCCATCTGGTGTCAGGTCACAGGCACTATTGCCATTGACACCTGCTGGTATCAGTGTGGCAGCAATTCAGTGGGGCTGGGCCAGGAGCTTGGGCAAAGGCCGAAAGAGGTGTGAGGTCCTTGAGCATTAATAGAGGCTTTAGAAGGTGGCCCAGCAACACTCCCCACCCTGCTACTGATCCCACTGTGCCACTGAGGTCCGGTCACGGAAGAGCTCTGCTTTACCTTACCTTTGATTTCTTGGAGAGATGGATAAGGAACTTCTCATATTGCTCTATTGCAAAAATCAGGTTTGGAATGGGCTTGGTCTCCCGAAGCACCTTAGCCTGAAATGCAGAAAGGAGAGGGACAGGTCAGATTGGGAAGTGAACAATGAACATGACAGGGTTGATCTTGTTTCATGTCTGTGAGCTTTTAGGCTGCATTTAGTGAAGATGGTTTTGCTGTTGTTGTTTTGTGGTTGGTTTTGCTTGGGTTTTTTTTAGACTTCTCTCTGAACTTAAAGCAGATTCAATCTGATTTTTACTTAAAGGCCCAGATGACAATTTGTTATTGGTGATCTCTAAGAAGCCACCAGGTAACACACACCTTGAGATAAGATGCCAAGTTCAACTGCAGCCCATGAGCTAGTGGAGAGTAAGTCCATCTTACCATGACGGTGGAGATAGCAGCAGATTCAGCTTCTTTCTTCTTCTTTTTCTTCTCTTCTGCAAAGCTTAAACTCTCACTGTGGATGTTCTGAGGAGGATGCCAAAAGATGTGGCTTAGAAGGTAAGCAGGGAAGAAAGGCCAGCCAGGTAAGGCTGAACAAGTCTTTGCTCTGACTAGCTAACAGCATTAGCAGCTAGATGACAGAAAGGTGGTGATACAAGAAAGATGGAATTGGGAATCTCAAAATGTAATCTCAAAAAAAGAAGGAAAGAAAAGCTAATTTCATGATTTATATATTCAGAAATATATGTGTGAGAAAACACAGCTTCCCCAACATGCCTGTTGAACAGTTCCTGCGGTCCTCGCTCACGTACCCAATTCCCCTTCAAGCAGCTAAATCCAATCTTCAGCACTGCAGTCTTTGGCACCCACGTTACTTTACACTGTGATGACTGCAGTGTTCTTGACCTTTATTTGCCATTGTGGTTAAAAGCAGTATTAATCTCATCAAAAACACTCCCACCAACTAAAACCCAGCTCCTCAAACACTCTTCCTTCCCTGCTCAAGCAGAAATCAGCATGCTCAGTCCCAGTGGTGCTGAAATGTCTCATACTATTATTTGACACAGTAAAGCTTGAACTATAAGAAACTCAAGTCATGTCAAGAAGATTAATAATCCCCAAAGGTGCCCCATGCACTGCAGCTGATACATCAGGCAGACTGACTGTGATTTTGCCTGTTAATTTAGGCCTTACCTGTACATAAGTAATGAATGAATAACACTGTGGGGTCAAATGGGAACCTGAGAGCTTCACCTGTGAAGAAGGAAGCAGAAAGATCTGTTTTACTCCTAACTCAAGGCAATGAGCCATTTCCTCCAGCAATTGCCTCACACTCACCAGCTTTTCCAGCCTTCCTGGAATTGTATTCGAGGTGCTGCGGCAAGCTTGGATATACTGCAAGAAAAACACAAGAGAGTTTCTTCTAGGGATGCTCTTCCCATCCTGCAACCTGTATTCCCAGCCTGGGCTCAAAGCAGCTCACCCAATGGCACAGTGGGGAGGGCAGGATTTGCAAGAACTATCCTCCCCAGTTGCTTGCCATATCCCAAATGCCATGTTTGCGTTCCAGAGCTACATGGTATTCACCACCTTGTCTCAAACCAGCTCCAGTGGCCTGTGGTCATGGCCCAGTTCCCCTACATCTGATGCTTCAAGCCTTAGGTGGGAATGAGAGGCAGGGGCAGGATTGCTGAGCACTGTGAGAACACCACTAGTGCCCTCAGTGTGGCACGTAGCTGCGTGCACAGGTACCTACAAGATACACTGGAAAGAGCCACTCCAAGCCATGCACAGCCAAATTCAGCTGGAGAGCAGCTCTCCTTTATCTCCACCAATACAACTATTGCTGCTCAGAAAGGTCATGAAATTGAGGGCATGAAAGCCAATGGAATAAAGACTCAACTCCTGGAAGAGATCAACAGCCCAGTCCTGAGCATAGCTGCTGCCAGGGGTCACTCTGAGCTCGCTGCAACAGAAAGGGAAGGTTTTAGATCCTAGCCAGCCCACTGTCAGCAGAGCAGCACTCACATGTTTGATGAGGGAGGTGAGAATTGCATATGTCTTGCTGAGGCTTCTCAGCAGCGTGTCCACACAGCTCCCTGCAGGCAGTGCTGTCTGTACCAGCTCATGATAAACTGTCAGCAGAGTTCCCAGCTGCAGAATTACACCTTTCTCCAGAGCCTGGGTTTGGTTTGATGCTTGAGAAGACTCTTCTAGAAGAAAGAGATGAATACCTCAAGAATGTGTGTCTAATGAATCCAGTCATGCAGGTGGGAGGCACAAAAGACCACCTTTGTGTCTGGTACACAAAATACCAGTGTGGAACAGGGAAAGTAACCACTGGAGGACTTCGTGACAACACTCTCTTACATTGTTCATGTGGAACCAGCTCAAGGGAGAGTTTAACCTGCCCTCAGACGATGCTGCCTCAAAATCCCCACATCTTTTTGCTCTCTATCTTCATCTGGTTTTGTCAGAGGTGTAACAGTAAGAAGTGAAACACTTTTATTACCTGATGTGTCCGATCCCAGACTGGTGAGTTTCTTGATAAGCCAATCCACCTCTTCAAGGACTTTATCTGCCTGACCCAGAACCAACAGCTGAAGACAGAAACAACAACAACAAAACAGGTTTTTGGAGGAGTTTGGCACATCAGGCATCTACCAGCTACTTGTAGCAGAGCAGCCCTGGACACTACAGGTTGTTCCATACACACTATTTTGACTCACACAGACAGTAGGGGCTGCAGTCTTGGCATTCACTATGGCAAAGTGGGACCGACTCTCCAGTTCTACATCCTGGTTGGAGGAGAGCAAACAAATTCTGGTGAGTAAAACTTTAGTTGGTGTCACACAGTTTGCACCAGAGATGCACTCAATTCTGCTCTGACAGCACTGCTGTCAGGAGTTAGGCTGCTTCTGCATCATACCTGATCTATGTCTCCCAGGCAAGCGTGGATGTCTTGTGCGAGCTCACGCAGCAGACTGACAGGACTCTTGTACTGAACATGGAGGCTGAAGAGCAGAGACAGCAAACCCTTGCAGCAAGAGACATCCTCTGTGGGGAAGGGAACACAACCCATTACCAGGTGCAGAGCTCCCCATGCTATTTAGGAACATCAGACATCCAGTGAGGGAACGCCTCAGGATCAGTGTGGATTTAACAGTCTGCATTCCCAGAAACAACACCCAGGAGGTGAAAATCCCATCGAAACACCCCAGTTACAAAAGCAGAGTTTACAACATTGGGCATCCCATATAACACTGCAAGGGGAAGCGTGGCACGCTGAAACCCTCAGCTCATAGAAAAATGATGACCAGAAGCACAATACAAACTCTGGCAAGAGTAGTATCTTTCCAGAGTATAAATCTGTTGATTTGAGTAACAGAGGTGCTAAATAACAAGGGAGAAAACTCAAGTAAGTGGCTTCTCTTTCTTCAGCAACATTACTATTTATAGAGATGGAGTTTCTTCCATAATGCTTGTGCTAATAACTACAGTGTCATGGCAATCTGCCACGGAATGAGACCTGAATGTATCAGTAACAGAGAGGTAAAAACACGACAGACAACAACAGAGCATCTAAGGGTCTGATACCTGACACATCACATCTAAACATGCTCCCCAAAGCTGACTTACCAAGAGCATTTTCTTTGCAAATTTTGACTGTCCAAGCCAGGAATTGAAGGAACTGTAGAAGGGGAGAAAATTGATCATGGCTTTGAAACAGAATTCAAAGCACAAAACTAAAGCTAAAACTAATAGTAAATCAAAACAACGAATCACAACAAAGAAAGATGAGAAGCATCTGCTCCTGGCAGAAAGGCACCCAGCCATGCTCTGTGAAGTTCCACAAGGGACACTTAACCTGCTAACAAGTGAAAAGCTGAGATCCAGGATAGGAGAATGGCTATACATTCCCTTGGGCAGGGTAAGAGCTCCATTTAATTTAAGGTAAATGATGACTCCAGACTTCTGGCACACTTTTAGTGCAGTCTCTATCTTGTAAAATTGGGGCACATTTAGAAAATGCCTCCTTGCATGGAAGGCATGAGGCACCCAGCCAATTTGGACTGGTCACACGTCTGCTGGCCTTGTTTGCCTCTATTCCCATGCAGAAGCTGTGCCAAAGCCAGGCTCTGTTAGCAGTCCCTGCTCAAGCAAACAAGTCATTCAGACTCCAGGAGTCCAAAAAGAGAATCAGAACATGAAGAAGGCAAAACATGCACACATGTCAGAGCCCACAGATGTCAGCCTAACCTGATCATCTTCTTCCCACATCCATGGTGACAACACCCATCCCTGCCACCCTATGAAGGCCAACAAGTACCTGCTGAGAGGCTGGATCCAGGAGTTTGGACAAAGTGGAGAGAACTGTGATGAGTGACTGCGTTTCCTTGGAGTTGAAGTCATCTTCAGCACTGCTGAACTGGTTCACCAGGGACCTCTGATCACGGGAAGGAAAGGCAGAGGCCCTGAGTGCGCATGCTTGTTGCAGGGCCATTTTAAGAAGCAAATAACCAGAAGCTGCAGCAGATAAAAGAATCAGCAACAGGAGAATGACAAAGAATGTAAAAAGAGGACTGTTCTAAAGAGCAAGTGCTGGGTTTTGTTATGAGAGGCCCGCATATGACTCAGTGTGACTGTACAATACTCAGGTTAGTTTATGCTGCACTGAAGGAGCCTTTGAATACACGTGCACTTCAATCCAGCTCTGCACAGCACGCTGAAGAAGCCTTCCTTAGGGATGGGAAACTTCTGAACTGCCAGTGTCGCATTTGCTGTCACACACTCAAGCCTGTGGTCAAGCAGCAGAGAGCTAGCAGTGTTTTCTGCCAGCATCACCAGTGCTTTGGAACACTCACAGCACACAGTGGTACTCACCTGAAACTGTCGGATCTGGAAGGCAGCTTTCTCTGTGACATTAATATCCGTTTCTTCTGCGTCACCATCAGTAATATCTGGCAGAGACAGAGAGGTGCAGAAAAAAGCTAAATGCCAAGAGCAGAATACAGGATTTATTTCCAAAAGTGGCAAAAGACTGCAACTGCTCACAGCTAGAGGAGGAATACAGACTGCAGAACCGTGCTGAGCACAGAAATGTGCTAAAGGCAAACTTCAAATAGATGAGTGCTATATCAGAACCCAGCTACCCTCTGCTGACTGGGAGCTCTCTAAAAGCAGGTAAAGAGACGTCTGGAACTTGCCTCTGGTGTGAAAATCAATGCTACTAAACCCACCTTGTTACTGAGAGACAAGGAGAAGACCCTTCTCTCTCTAGTTACGGATAAAGGGTCCCCACCTACGCACGCATTGGCTGGAACATGAAGGCTAGAAACCAGAGTTGTACCATGTGCCTACCCAGGGCTTGTAGAAACTGGGGGATCCTGGCAGTGTAGAGCTGCTGCACTGTGTTGAAGATCCGCAGCAAACCTTCCAAGCACAGAAGCGAAATGCTTTTGCCCTTCTTCTTCCCTGACTCTTCAACAACAGTGGGAATTGAAGTGTACCTCCAAAGCAGAACCCTATAGGATGGGAGATGAGTTAGCATCACATGCTCCAGTAAAGCTGGCTGCACAGTGCAAGGACTAGAACAGGGCTAATCACAGATTCTACTCTTCGGATCATATTGTTACTATAACTAAATTGGAATGTTTTTCCTATAGGAAAGTGGAGGGAGAAGAAATCAATTTTTAAGAAGATTTTGTTTCAATATCAGCAAAACAGCTACTGCATTCTTCCTGCACAGCTAAATAATTTAATTCTTTCCAGGTACCAAGGGACCTTCCAATCCCATTTCAAATCCATCTTTATACACTCATTTCTTCCACCTGGCTTTTCCTTCTCTCTCCAACTACCCAAACACTGACCACTGGTGTCAAATCTGTCAGTGACAAAAAGCTTTTCTCTTGGCAGTTTGAATCTTGTGAAATGTCAGATATCACTATAGGGCCCTTCCCAGTAATAAAACCAGAAAGGTAAAGGCAGGCAAAGCAAAGTGAAAAGCTTTGAAGGAAGCAAAATTGTTTGGCCCAAAGGAGACTCTTCTATTTGTAGGCAAACATCTTTTTTTCTGCTCCCCTAAGCCCACTTCTTCCCTTTTTTGTTCCCTCTCCTTTCTTCTCATTAGTTCTGTCTCCTGCACAGATGATCTTATTCTATTTCAACATCCAATCACACAAAACATGTAGCTCACATGTAGTCCTAATGACTCCAACAAAAATAGCCTCTATTATTTGGGGTGAGACACAAAACGGGCATTATTCATGGCAGGGGTAATTTGCATTTTGTGCTCTCTGCTGACTGGGATCTGAAAAGACCCCATGCAGATATGACCTAGATGCCAAAAGACATTTCCATGGTTAACATTCTTGGCTTTCCAAAGGATTAGATGCAGGATTGTCTTCAGGCATCTTGCAGAAGTCCTAAACAAACGTTTTCTGAAGCTTGTGTCTCTCTTACGTCTGTTTTGTACTTTAGCTAGAAGTGAATTTTAACTTTATTGAATCCTAGAGGCCTCAAGAATCCAGCCTGTAACAATCCTACCTCCTCTGTGACAGTGAGCGATGAACCAAAAGTCACAAAGAGGCTGAAAATGAGAGTTTGATGGTGTTTGGTTCTTCCAGGCCAAGTACCATTATTAGAGCTGTATCACTCACTCTGGCACAGCAACTGTACTGTCTCCACTTGATTTCTCAGGAGCAAAGAAAGGCAATGATCTCAACCCAGCAATAATAACTGTTTGAAACAGTTACAGACTGCATTCTTCTTTCCAAACCCTACTTGAGAATCAGAAATCCTCAAAATGCACTGCTGCTTTTTAGTGCCGATGCCTCCAGGTGCCCCAGCGACTCACTGCGTGACTTTGCAGAGGTTCTGAAACATCTTGTCAGGGTTCTGTCCGTCTGGTCCATCCGTTTGTCCCGTCTCCTCCAGCTGCTGCACCTTCTGCAGAGCTACACTGACAGCATAGCGCAGGAACTCCGTGCTGGAGCGCAGGACTGCCAGGCTCTCCTCATGGCTTTGGGCATTGTCCCTGGAGAATCAAGGGCACTGTCAGAGAACTGAGCAGGCACTCAAAAAGCAAAGAGCTTCAAAATCTAAGTATGCATTAACAAATAAAATCAGTAGCTGGATTCAGGGTGGAAAAGACCCTTTGTTTTGGTAGCTTGTTAGTGAATACTCGGAGGACAGAGTTCCACCAGCCTTTCCAAATATACAGACATGGTTTGAATGGATGTCTGGCTCTCTTCCATAGAGCTCAAACACTGGAGTTTGTTGTCTGGGGAACAGCCCAGGACTGGAAGAGCAGAGACTCTTGGAAGTCTTGCAAGTCCCAAGCAAGCTGGTTTGTCAAGGTGAGCTCTGGTTCCTGCCTGGACTACCATGATCTCCAGAAAAGTGTTGTTACTATGCACGCTTTGTACAGAAATCACAATGCCTGGTCCCTGTATGCAGTGCACAAGACAGCCAGCATGCAGGCACCACGAAAGCAGCTTGTGAATAGGCCTTAAAAGCTACTCCAGATGTGACAGCTTCTCACCTGAACAGAGCTGTTAGCAGAGTAGATACAAAACCCATGGACAGAAAGCTCCGTGGACTTTTATTGCCCAAGGTAGATTTGTTCTTTCCAGCTTTCTCCTTGAGGATTTCAGAAAGCTTGTTGTAACATGTAAACAGGCCTAGGACATCCTCAAACTTGTTCTTACTGCAAAACAGTAGTAGAAAGCATTAATGGAGAAAAGAGAGTCTTACAGTTTCCCATTTGAAGCTTCAGTTACCAAATTACACAGTGGCACTTTCTAAAGGATAAACCCATTACATATGACATCTCCCCACCTCCCTAACAGCATATACCTCATCCCTTCCTCCTGCTTCCTAACCCGCTCCTCTACAAAATGTCACATCCCATCTCCCACAGCACAAGACACTCCTCAAGGTTCTGTGAATGTCTGAGCCACTCACACTCAGAAAACATCCTGATTCTGCGTTGGCACTATTACTCTGTGCTTGCAGTGAGACTGTACTCTGAAGAACAGGCACAGCTAGTGCTGGAGGGCAAGATTTGATGTTTTACCTGAAATTCCCTACGTTGAAATTGTACTCAATCAGGACCTCACAAATTCCCATCACCTGAATGGCGTAAATGTTATTCTTTACACCGACACCAGAAGACAGAGAAAAATCTGCCGATTTATCCTAAGAGGTAAAGGAAACAAGTGAAAAACCTTCTCAAAACCTGACAAGAACTCAGCGTCTTCTTCCACTGAGTCAAACTGAGAATCAGATTTACCAGTTCAAAGTCTTCCAACTCGCTCTTGATCATTCGTCGTGTGACAGATTCTAACATCTCTTCAAAGTTTTGCTCAAATCCCACATCCTCCTCCTCATCATCATCTTCAGCTCCTTGGCAGAGATTCACAGAACTCTTATACCAGGCAAGACAGTGTTGGATACAGCAGAGCAGATGGGCCTGAAGGAAGCAGTCACACAGTCACACTCAGCCTTCTAGCTGGAGGTCACTGGCATGGGGGGATATGGGCCAGACTATGATAGTTGGAGGCAAAAAGCTGCCTTCAGGGCTTCATGTGAGTCCCAAGAATATGCCTCATTCTGGGAACAAGGGGATCTGTAATCCTACACACAGCTACCCTGCCCCAGCTTCAGTGTCTGCCTGAGCTTGGCTATACAGGATGCGAAGACTTAAATCCCACTGCTCCCTCAACCCAGCTACCTCGATGGCTGAAGGAGATGGAAAAGGAATTCCAAAAGGGCTCTCACTCTAGCTGAAGTGTGTGCTCTCTTCCTGGGTGGGCTACTGCAGCACAGCACGGAAGCTTCCAAAGGGAAAATATAGCGACTAATTTGAATTTGTTCCCTTGGAAATCCAAGGAATTGTTGAGGTCTCATCTCCAGCAACTTCAAAGGAGCAAAACCGAAGGGCAGATTCTTCCTCCTGTTACACACACACTGCAGGAGTATTTTATGTGGATTTAAGTTGAAGGAGGGACAAAAAGCCCAGGGTGAGTTTAAGAGAGGGTAAAAGAACTACACTATTCCTAGAGCATTTTTCACACAGGTCACCTAAACCACTATGCTAGTGGAGCTCTAATAGATAGCCTGAGGCAGGGGAAAGATGCCCAGCTCTATTGTCATTAAAAGAATTGCTCCAGGCTAGTAAAAGCTGAAGAAACACAAGGTATTCAGCTCATGTAGCAGCACAACTAAAATGCTACGGAACAGATGAGCTGGCAGCTGTGGCCTGTAGCTCTTACCAGTGGTTCTTGCAGAAAGATTTGATCTCCTTGAGCCATAATACATCCTTCAAGTTTCAATGGAGGCAGGAGGTCTGGCTGGGGCAAGTAATATTGCTTTATCTGTCATGGAAAACAAGAAATAAAAATAACCAGTTACTTGGTAACTGAGCCTCTCAGGTTGTTTGAAAACAGAAGACAATAATCTTTGTGCTCCATTTCACAGAGCAAAAACTGGCACTGTAATAAAGGGACTGTACATGTACGTGAGCCACATCAGATGCTCCATTAGCAATTAAAAACCCCTCTTGAGTTGCTTATGTACCTCTCAGCCCTAAACCAAGTTTACCTGATCACTTGCTGTCGTGTTGCCTCCACATGCAACACCACTTGCACTTCACCTGTAGTGCTACTTTAAACTGCTGCCTGTCACATGCCCTGAATGCTTGGTCCTGTTATGGCATCCAGCTTCCTGGCCTAAGGGTGCAGACAGGTATGGAGTCTACACTTGGCACTAGAAAAATCTATCAGAGACCATGCTTGCATCAATTCCTGTCTATATCCAAGTATTGATATCCTGTATCAATACTTGGAGGATATCCCCTTCCTTTGGCACACCACAGGAAGGAGATATCCTCCAAGTACTGATATAGGATCAGAACCAAATAGGGAAAGTTACACACACAATGATGCTATAAAATTTTATACATTTACACCAACTTCCCCTTAAGTGCCCTCTGCTACCCAAAAGCTGCCTTGTCTCTGTTCATGTTCCTTTCTCAGACCCTCTACTGTCATGGGAGAGCTGGAATTAGTCAGCATGAACTCTATGGATGATTAAAGGGAAGAAAATTACTTGTCTCAAAGACAGCACAGCCTGTCCAATGGATTGAGGAAATGTGATTGTCTTGTTGCCATGAGCAACACTGTTGGGGGATGAGTTAATCCTCCCAGATCCTACATGGACTTGGGTATTCTCCCGATGGGAGGACAGCAATAATAATTACTCTGTCAGCACACATCCTTGGGGAAGTATGGGAGGGTAACTGCCATGCACTGCTAAGGAACAGGCAGTGCACAACACACTTCTCTGGGCTCACACTTCTCACAGCATCTCAGAACTGAAGGGTTGGAAAGGACTCCAAGAGATCCTTTCTCTTCATCCTGCGAGAGGATATGAACCAGTCTCCAGACGTTTCCCCAGTCTGCTCTCTCAACATAGCAGGGATCTGAACACCTCCTTAGAGAAGTGCCACACACTTAAACATGTTTCCAGTCTAAGGGAGAACTATTTTCCCAATATTTAACCTGAATTGTTTGCTATACTGGTTGTAGTGCATAATTCTTAGTCTCTACAGCCACAGCATTACCCTACCTGGGACAAGAGTGTTTCCATTATAGAGCTGGCCAGCTGGGAGTTCCTGCGAAGGACGTCATAGAAACCCTGGAGACAGGAAGGAAGGACAAGTTGGCTTCCATGACAAAGAAAATGGACCAGCTATAAAACAACAATAAGTTGGTGTCACAAGACACCAGTGACCATTTGGCACTGCAAGGAACTGTGAGGAAGTAACAATGTGCTCAGTGTAAAACCCCATACCTGGCAAAGCAAAAGCACCGCAGAAAGAAGGTATGAATCAGAAAGAGTATGAATTTCCTCACAGGGGCCCTCCTACAAGCTGTATCTCCCTAGCAGCAGTGGCATCAAGCCCAGAGTGACTTTCACTGCTATTTAACACTAGCACTAGATCCAACTTCAAACTGTGAAATCCTGCTTCAAAGGCAAAACAAGCCAGTGGGGAAACCGTAGGAGGCAAAAAAATCCTTCAGACTGAGAAAACTCAGTGGATGGATAAAGCAAGTGCAAGTCTTACAGCAACAGTGACAAACACACCCAAAACTTGCAGCTCACCAGAGGTCAGTCCAACCTACTCAAGAAAGAAAGAAAATCTCTCTGACCTGAATAGGTTTTTCCTCAGGATGGTACCACATGGTTACCTCAGGAGCTAAGATACACACCCAAAAAATGGCCCTTTGTATTAGGCCACTTGTCACAAGAAATGTAAAGGACAGACAAGTCTTTATAGAAACTTGCAAAAGGAGGAGGAGAAAAGACTGATCCCTGATGCAGTCTCTAACTTTCCCCATATTCTTCAATCAGGGTTTTCTTTGGAGCTCATCATTAACTCCCAGCAACTCTGCATCTATCCAATGCCTGTTACAACACTCCTCCTCACTGGGCATCAAACATGCTTCCCATTTCCTAGGCCATACCACAGGAAGAGACTTTGATGCATTTTTCCTCTTAAGCAGCGCAGGAGATGAGGAAGATACATCAATGTGTCTTTGGGCTTATAGTGATCCAAAATGAAAAGCAACAGCAGGATGGAAAAAATAAATATAGTCCTTGGTACCCGTGTCCCATGAAGAACATAACTGAGATGGTAGCTTGTTTTCCACAATAATGTGTTCATTTCTTACCTGGGGCTACAGTAGAACCAGACTACAGAAGACACAGTGGCTGTTTAAAAGGAGATTGAAGGAACCATGTTTACCTCATATAACATGAGCCGAACATCCGCCTGCTGGCTCAGACACCGCCTCAGGCTGCCCAGGATTTCGAGGCAGAAGGCCTCATTAGCTGCAGAGTTATAGCAGGCATGAACATCTGCCTGGACCTGGGAGGGAATATTAGTCACGTTATAGTGGTTACAGTTCTCAAATTATCACAATACAGAAGCAAGGTGATAAGGGTCCTGGCCCCTTAACAATCACTGAAAGAGTCCTTAGCATGCTGCCAGGCTCTTCATCATCATCATGGAGCAGTGTGAATGCTCCCTAAGAACACTGGTGCTGTAAGAGAGAATGAGAAGCAACATCCTTAGGCCAGCTTCTCACTGCATTTCCCAAAGCTTTCCTTCCAGGTCTAATCCTTAGTGAAGTTTTATTTCCCTTTTGGGGAAACACTCCACTCTTAAATTGTTTCAAACAGGAACTCTTCATCAGGGACGGTAGTGATAGGACAAGGAGTGATGGGTTCAAACTGAAACAGGGGAAGTTCAGGTTAGATCTAAGGCAGAAATTTGTCCCTGTGGGGGTGCGGAGGCGCTGGCACAGGGTTCCCAGAGAAGCTGTGGCTGCCCCATCCCTGGCAGTGTTCAAGGCCAGGTTGGACACAGGGACTTGGAGCAACCTGCCCTAGTGGAAGGTGTCCCTGCCCGTGGCAGGGGGTTGGAACTGGATGATCTTAAGGTCCTTTCCAGCCCAAACCATTCTATGATTCTATGGTATTAGACACGAGAGTGCCTCATCTGTCCACCCCAGGGACTGCAGAACAGCACTTACCTGGGTGGCACCAATGGCCTGGCTGCACTGGGAAGAGGCCAGGCTGCCCAGGATCTTAAAGTTTCTTAACAGAAGCAAAAAGCCAGCAACTGCGGCTTTCCGAGCATCGAGCTGCCTGTGAGGCAGGGGAGAAGAGAGAAGCATAAGTTAAAACTGAAGCAAGAAGCTCAGAAGTAAATACAAGACCAACTCATCAATGAAAAAGAGCCCCCACATACAGAGTGACTGGGCTCTTTGGAACTGTATTCCCCAAGAGGGCAGCACAGTCCCAGGGAGCTGAGAGCTTGGCAGTTTGCTGGGAGCTCCCTTGCTCTACATTCTCACAACATTCAAGTTCCTTTCTGTCCTAGGAGAGGACAAGACCCAAGAGTTAAATGTCCTCTGAAAACTGGAATGGGGGAGTCTCACAGAGCTCAGAGTTGGAAAACTCCTCACAAAAATCTGGTGTTTTGCTTTGCTCATGGAAACTCAGGGTCTTTCCCAAGAACAAGTCCCTTGCCTTGAATAATAATCCTAAATTATGAATTCTATATTCATAACCAGGCAGCCACTGCCAAACAAAATCCAGTCAATGATCACAGCATTATGAAGACAGCAGGATGGTTTGCTCAAAGCATTACCAAGACAACAAGCCTGCTTCTCTACCACCTTCTAAGGGATCAGAGGGAAGGTGGTAGCTCAGCATTCCAGACTCTCCCTAGCATCTGGATGTACTCAGCAGTGTAGACACATGTTGGAATTGGTTTTAGTTTTGCCTACTTATTTGGAGTTCCCAACAGCTTTCTGAATTCCCAAAGCCCATTTAGCTGGGGTTTGGGATTTGTGTCTCATTTCAGTAAGCTGTGACTGTATTACAGTCGTAGGCTAAAGAGTTAGATGTCACCATCTAGTTATGGGAAGAACATAGTAAGAAGAGACTCATCCAAAACAAAACATACTTCCACTCCAAAACCATAAAAGAGTTGTGGAAGTCTTTTCAATAGATCCCCTTCCCAGCTTACCTGGAAAAGATAGCTTTCTGCAGAACAAGTATCAGGGAGTCCCTCACTGACATGCTGACTTTGAGTAGAGGCTGGAAAGGAAAAGAGACTTTGGAGAGAAAAGCACTAAGACATGCCAAGCCCTTGGGGCATATGAGCTCATCTTCCTCAGGCCCATCTGGCCCTGCATTTCCAATACTGTCATCAGTACAGTAGGAAAACCAAACCATTTTAAGCCAATATAAAATTAAACCCAGAGAGCTGTAGCAGTGAGACACCTCACAGGTTACTGAGGACACGGTGCAAGGGTTTGGGAAAAACACAGTTATCCCCAGATTGGACAAAGCAGGAAAAGATTTAATGCCAGGGCAATATCTCAGCCCAGACAAAGGGAAACACTGACATGAAGCTCGGAAGGAGAAAAATCAGTATGACAGCTCCAGCTGCTCAGCTAACCACTGTATGCTTAGTTTTGTACAGTGTGCAGCATCTGGGCATCTTCCAGATGAAAGGTCAGCACAGAGCAGTTTTGGTACCATGCCAGACCACACCATATGCTTTTTGTTAGAGGGCACAGGCAAATCCATGCTTGAAGAGCAGTTCCATGCTACACCAAACAACCTACAGCAGAGCATGAAGGTTTATTTTACAAGAAGGGTTATTAGATCATGCATATAACTGTGGCCTAGTGCTGTCACTGGAACTAAACTAGCAAGGATATTCATAGAGAAAGGCAAAGCTTTACCTGTACTGCCCGGAGAAGCCCTTGCACTGTGTCAATGGGCAGAAAGGACAAATTGTCAAAGGTCTCTGTGACTTTGGAGGATGAAGTCTGAAGCACAAGAGGAGCAGACACAACAATACTGGACAGCAAGTCTGAAAAACAAAAGGACAAATGGAGCAGCTGCTGCCAAGGGGTAAGAAACGTCTGAGCAAAAGATATGTATAGAGCTAACAACTACAGAATACCAAAGCTCTTCCACCATACAGAGAGGTTGGGATAGGATGAGCATTGAAAATCTGAGCTCTGCTGCAGACACACAGTATAAAATGCTCACAACCCAGCTGAAGGGCCTCACCCCACCAGAGGGCACTGAGGTATCAGAGAAGAGGCTGCAGCAGAGGCATTTTGGCAGCCCAGTGACTCCCAAACACCTGCCCAAGGATGAGGAGGAAGGCAAGGCTACGGAACATGGAACAAGTTGCTGACTGATGGATACCAACTTTCTGTGTGTCAGCTGTGCCATGGCAACTGGCTGCAAACATACACTTTAATTGTGGTGAATACAAGGTAATCTGATGCAGCTGAAACCTTAGAAGACAGGAAAGAACAAGTGATTTTCTTGGCTTCAGGTCACTTTTTTTTCCAGAAAGCCAACTGCATACTGGGCTGCACCCAAAGCAGCATGGCCAGCAGGTCAAGGGAGGGGATTCTTCTCCTCTACTCTGCTCTGGCGAGACCCCACCTGGAGTGCTGCGTCCAGCTCTGGAGTCCTCAGCACAGGAAAGACATGGGCCTGTCAGAGCAGATCCAGAGGAAGACCACAGAAATGTTGAGAGGATGGAACACCTCTCCTAAGAAGAAAGGCTGAGAGCTGGGGTTGTTCAGCCTGGAGAAGACTCTGGAGAGACCTTATTGCAGCCTTTCAGTACTTAAAGGGGGCTTATTAGAAAGACAAAGACATATTTTTGTAGAGCCTACTGCAGTAAGACAAGGGGCAATGGTTTTAAACTGAAAGAAAGCTAATTTAGACTGATATAAGGAAGAGAGTTTTTACAATGGGGGTGGTGAAACACTGGAACAGGTTGCCCAGAGAGGTGGGAGATGCCTCATCCCTGGAAACACTCAAGGTCAGGTTGGATGGGGCTCTGAGCAACCTGATCTAGTGAAAGGCTCATTGCAGGGGGTTTGGACTAAATGATCTTTAAAAGGACCCTCCCAACCAAAACTATGAGTCTATAACTTGTTTTGAGAAGCTATGTTCTGAGTGTCCACAGAGCAGGACACATTTCTCTCTCTTTCCTGTTACCTATGAAGTGGCTGACAGGAGACCCTGCTTTTGTGAGGACTCTGTTCAGGACCTGCTCAAGAATATCGCTTTTGATGGGCTCATGAACCTGAAATGAGACAGAACACTAAATAAAAATCAAAACCTACAAAAACTGAAGATATCCCTGTACCTCCCAGCACAGGCATCATGTAATACAAGGCAAATCCAGATCTGACAGGTAAGCTGGGACTGGTTGCCTGAAGCTCCCTCCAGCTAAATTCACACAGGTTGATTTAGATTCCATGCCAGGCCAATCAGAACCAGCACATCAGAGGCACACACTTGAAACATACTGGGTGACATCAGTGGTGGGATGGAAATTTACCACTTCAGTGAAGACGCTGGTTTCAATCCCACCTCTGACAGATTTCCTTTGTCCCTCTGAATTTCTCTACCTTCTTTGCCATTTTTGGGAAACTGTAATAGGGATTACACAAGTATCATGGTAACTGGAGCAGATGAGGATAGTCTCTTCCAGTTGGGCAGGGGCAAACAGGGAAACTAAATCTGGTAGTGTTTGTAAAACACTCATGCTGGATACAGCAGGCAGAGTTCTGACACCATTTACCAACAGAGTTCTCTCCCCCACCAAAAAAAAAAAAAAAAGCCTCTCCAAAACATACAGTACCTTAAATGTTTCCAGAAGGATACTTGCTCCCAGTCTGCAAGCCTGCTGAGCTGGCATTTTTGAAAGGCCATAACTGGCATCAGCAGCTTTTCCTCCAAAGGGCTTTTTTGGTTCATATGATTCCATTAGGCTGAAGCCAAGATCCACCAGGCCCTGTGTAACATGGTCCCAGCCAAAGGCACTGAGGAAAACATCAAGCAGACCAAGAAAGAAACAACTTAGTCACAGAAAAGGTTTAAATTAGAGTAGTTTAAGGTAACATTTTCTGCAGTCATTCCAGGGTCCAAAGCAGCAATGAGAGATGCTTGATCACACCAGGGAAGACAACATCCCTCACAAGCCCATGATGGTCTTTAGGCTGAGGGACAGGCGCTCAGCACAAGACATCCTGCCATCCAGACTTCCTTTCCAAAGGTTTCCTCACTATGGGGAATGATGTGCACTCAGGTCTGACCTGAACTGTGACAGGCTACAGCTGGGATGCACAAATATCCTACTGATCCTGAGATCTTCAATGAATGCCTCGCATCAAACTGAAGGACAGCTGGTGACAGATCAGAGCTATCCCACAGGATGTTTAAAGAACCAACGATGTGGGGGATGAAAACAGTGAACCTATCACTCATTCCCTGATCAGAACACAAACTACAGCCAGCTGCATGACTCACCATCAGCTGCTTCACCAGTAAGACACAGATGGAGTGTCCCGATCAGTTTAGTCCTTTGTACCTCCGGATGCTGAGATTTGATGCAGAGGGGGCAGATTCACACAGCTGCATTTTGTTGTCTTTTTTTTTAGTTCACCAGTATAAAACTGGGATTAAAACTCTGCATTTTGACACTGTTCCCTGGCCAGCAGTATTTAGCATCCCAGAGCATTCTAGTGAGGCTGAAACTCTCCCCCTCCAAAAGCCCACTGAGTGTTCTGCAGCATGTGGCAACAACTCACCTGTTTTCCACCACTTCCAGAATTACAGCAGTTACATCATATTGTTGAGGAAACAAATCCTGCAGAAACTTGGAGGCCTGAAGGAACTGCAGGTCCTTGCAGCTTCTTGTGATTGATGTTTTCAAGAAATCAAATATCTGGAACATAAAATCATTGAGTGAGAGGAAATGATCTTTGAAATGGGACCTGTATAGTCTTGGGTATGTTCCAGTAAGAGCACAAGTTCCAGCAGAGCCTGCCAAAAGTCTTAACTCCTTTCTCAGGACAAATACGCCAACCTCATTAAGTGCCTCAAGGAGGGCAACCTGCTGCCAGATGCTCTTCAGGTGGCCACCACAGAGCCAAAGCATTACAAAAAGAAGACATTCCTTTTCTTCTCACCCTGTAACACCAACCCTCAGGAATCACAACTCTGGAAAATTCTGACATTGCTCTGGGGTCTTTTATAGTGTTCAGTAAACTACAGGGTACTAGTGATCCAACTGCCTCCCCAAAAGCATCCTGAAATCATTTTAAGACTAATTCTGACGGGACTATGACCTAACCATGTTTCCTTTCCTTTCCAAGAAGTGCAGTGTACATCCCCATGGAAGTTCTCTGCAAGCTGATCACCCACATACCTGCTCTTGCTGTCTGTGTTTTACTGCAACCGATAGCAAAAGAGCCACGCTGAAGGGACACAGGGCTCTACCAGGGTCCTTCTGCTGCTCAGTCTAGAAAATGGCAAGCAACAGTCAGAAAGCTTGTTATCTTCAACTGCAGCATCCCACAGGCTCAGGGAAGCTGTAAGGCACATGTGTCTTCAAACATATCACAGCACTTTTACAAGTGAACATGACTGCAAACACAAAAATCATTAAATCCCTTCTATAGGTAACCAGTTAAGTTTTAAAAGCCCTGCTTCAGCATCTTCAGCAGTAGTGCCTGCTCCTTCTGTGTCCTACCTTTAGATGTCTGATTAGTTCCTCACCGAGGTCCTGATCCAGGTTGATAACAGAAACGATATGGAGAATAACGGTGCCTTCCACGTGGCGGAGTTGGTCCAGGGGCGTTGTGGCTACCTCAAGGTCCCCTGACCTGTGAGTTTCAAAACCAAGCCATCCAAAGCCATGAATCATTTGTGCATCAAGGATGTACTTGTAGTACAAGGTTTAACAATATGAATTCAAGCAGTCCTGGGCAGGACCAGGGTGACTACAAATAGAATCATAGAATCAACTAGGTTGGAAAAGATCTTCAAGATCATGAAGTCCAACCTTTACCCCAGCACTGCCAAGGCCACCATTAAACCATGTCACTAAGGGCATCATCTACATGGCTTTTGAACTTCCCTGGGCTGCCTGTTCCAATGCCTGACCACCCTTTTGGTGGATATTTTCCTAATATCCAGTCTAAAATCCCCTGGCACAGCTTGAGGCTGTTTCCTCTTGTGCTATCGCGTGCTACTTGGGAGAAGAGACCAGCCACTCCTATACCTTTACCCAGGCAGTAAGAAAAGGGGATGACAGAGAAAGAACTCACTGTGGAACCTTCTGTTCTTCCTTCTGTTTCTTATCCAACTGATTGAAAAAGCTGATGATTCCTTCTAAAACAGTCTTCTTACTGCCCTGCAAGGGAGGACATTACATTAAGCCACTGCAGGGCCTGCAGTCTCCTAGAGAACTACGCTATTCCCACACTGATTACAAATGTCATGGTATCCTTAATTTCCCTTCATCAATCCCTGAGGTGGGAGAGGGCTCCTGTACAGTTCATTTCCAAATGAAGCCACTCTGGTTTAGTTTGTGTATTTCTTTTGACCGCATTTATTAAATAGTTGGAAGAAGCTGAAGCTTTCAGATGTTCTCAGGGTTTTTTTAAGTTGTTACTAATTAGAAAGGATCCTTTATGTTATAATCAATTGAGAAGGCTTTCGAATGCCTAGCCTTCAATATATACATATATATTTTTTGGTCAGTGGACCTGAAGCCAGGCGGAAACCAGGAAAACCTCCTAAACCACACATATCATTTGTCTTTGCCAGAATCATTTCTGGAATTGACTCGGTCACAAATGAAGCCCAAGAGCCAGATCACCCTGTCAAAGGGCAGAGACGTCCTTGGCAGCCTCTGCTTGCAGGAAATGCCCAGGGAATGACAAGTTTGCAGCACAAGTCAGACTACAACCCAGAAGACAGTCATACTGCATGAGCTATTATTATAGTGTGCAGACCACAAAGTGAGGAAAACCACACTTAAGAACACTGAGAAAACCCAGTCCTCTGCTGTCTGCTAGGTCTGTGCACACCCCTTATTTCCCAAAGGTTTGTTTCCTTCCCCACAAGGAATATCAAGATTGTATCTATCTCTGAGCAGTCAGCTTCTTCAGGCTTGAGAGAGCTGGAGAAATAAACCTACTGATGTCCTGCTGTGTCCTGCTCCCCACAGCACAGTTTGGGAACAACTGGAACTCCTGCCAAAATCCAGCCTAGAGCTCAGCCTGTACATTTTTTTTCCTCATGGTACATACTTATGGGGAGTCTCCCGTGAGCTTTTACCTTTGCAGAGAGCAGCAGCAGCTGATAGACCAGAGGGGGAATTTCCTGTAGGTCTAATTTGGAGAACATCCTGAGGACCTTTTCCACCACAAACTGCAGTTCCTCTCCTGACAGTGGAATATCCCTGTTGAATCAAAGATGCAGTCTAATCATTTCCACTGATTTCCTTCAGAATCCCACAGCAGATTCAACCCGTAACTAGACAAAAGGTGCTAATGTACAGACAGGCAGCAAGTGCTCCCAAAGTCCTCACCAGAAGCAGTTGCCACAGATTCCTCAATACCCTACCACTGCTCCAGGATACTCTTCAACTTCCCTGTGCTTACATCTCCTCCACATGATGTTCATTAATGTATCGTTAATTTGCCAAGGCTCACTCACATACAGAATAAAAGCCATGGTGCCCTGCCAGTCTTTGAGCCATCCCTGCCCAAAGCTGTTTTGTATCCAAATGGATCCAACATGGATGTTCATTGACCAACCGTTTGTGTGGCTGTGTCTGGTATGGTCAGACCTATTCGTACTTGCCCCAAATTACACATGAAATAGGGCACAGACACGACAAAGCACATGGAAGTGTTGATGCTGAAGGGAAAAAGAATTACCTGAACATGTTGGCAAGATGTATCACACTCTGAGGATCCCACCTGGTACAACAGAACTATGTCAGAAAATTGGGAGCAAGCAGAATTACCACTTAGCCCTTCCCTCCTCAAACACAATTACACAATGTCACCATTTCCCTGTTATTTTCCAATATTAAGATTAGAAGCCAGGTTTCCAAGAGAAATCACTGCCACCACCCAGCCTGATAATGGTTCTGAGCTGCCCCAGCCCCCATAATAACAAATACCAAGAAAGGAATGAAAACAAGCACATTCTGAAACCAGTCCATGCAATGCTATTACAAGATCTGGGAACAGGGTGTTCCCTTGCCATCCCAGCCAGAGAAGACACTGTCACAGAGGGCACAGATTCAAAGACGATAGAACAGGACACAGCTGGTGACCATCAGGTCATCATGATGCCTTTTTCTAAGCACAACATGAAGCTGTTTTGCCACGTAACTAAGAGCTAGCAGAGATGTACGTACTTGCTGGAGCAGAGAGTATTTATCAGTTGTTTCTTAAACTCATCCCCATTCAGTTCACCTGAAAAAGCAAAAGTCTTTTAGGAGCTGACTCCAGAGGAATGGAGCACAGGCTGCAGAGAAGGAACATTTTCATTACCTTTCCCATAAGCCAGGCTCTCCTTTGAACTGGCCAGTGCAGTGAGAACAGTGGAAAATAACTCCAAGGATTTCCCATTAGACAGGCTGCCACCTTTGATAACATCCACAAACAGGGTGGCAAGTTCAGCCAATGCAGGGCCTGGCAGCTGGCGAGCCTGGGAGAACATACAACATTTGAGGCACTGCACAGAAATTCACACATGCATCCAAACCATCACCAAAACCCAGCAAAGGATAACATTTCCTACTGGTATTCCCCTAAAAGGGGAATTTGGCCCCGAGATCTCTATTTTGTGTAGAACAGAGCGGTGTATCAAGATGATGTAATTACAGGTTTGGAGTTAGGAGTCTAAACATTCGAAGATAATCACATTTATACAACACAGCAAATTCCAGCACTTGCTAACTTAGTCCAGGGTGGATCTATGGAAGGACTCAACTCATCTTCCTCAGTGGCCTAGTGAAGTATCTCAATCTACACACAAAGGGATACCCAGTTAAGCCAAAGGAGTCTCTACCTCCAGCATCAGCAGTCCTATGATTTCAGACACCTTGGCCAGATGCAGGTCCCCTGACTCCACCAGCGGGATGCAGTGCTTGTAAACCTGAAGCCTCCTGAGAACACCACTCCGCTGGGAACAGGGGGAGCCTTATAAGGAGGAAATAAAGAAAACAAAGAATGGACAAAAAAAGTTATGTGAGTAACAACATGTTGCTAAACAACAGGAAATTATCAGGGCTGAACTATCACCTGCCTGCACCTCCCTGCTTTATCTATCTGACACAACAGATAAAAAAACAGAGCAGAGGAAATGAGAATCTCTTGGGTAAAACAGCTGAAGCACTCAACCCTGCTATCACACCCTGTGCTTCACTCAGCCTGCTGCCAGAGATCAGGAAGTGTCAAAATGCTGAGAAGAATCAGGTTGGCAATTAAGTCCCAGCTGGCTCAGCTCTACTCCAAGGTGCCCGTGTTGTCCAAAGAGTGGATTTGTACCCAGGGTGCAACAAATCCACATGCTCTGGAGATGCTGTGTTTAGTCAGGCCTGGGTGGGCTGCTGCACAGATCAAGCACACCACCAGCAAGTTCCAGGGCTCACAAAAATCATGGATTACATACTGATTGGTTATTAATTAACACAGGACCACATAGTCATTCATATAACTATGCATGCTCAGAGGAAGGGTCTTCACCTGGGTCAAGGCCTTTTTGATCTGTAGGTGTGATATTATAATAAAGGCAGTTCACTTCAGAATGCCTTAAAGATTGGTTTCATTGCCAAGCTGGTTAATTGAAAAGTCACTTTGCCAAGCTGGAAGTAACACCCTCAATCCCAGATGTTCTCATTTGATCTTTAAAACAGAACTGGGTCCTGGTTTTAGTCATTAATTCCTTTTGTTAATGAAGGTCATCTTGACCCAGGTTCAAGATCCTAACACGTACAGTAACTATAACTGCCATGAGCAGATGTAAAATGTACCACCTAACGGATGGCAAAAGTAAAGCCCACTTACAACAGGCTCATTAAAGATGTGTCAGCCCAGTCTCCTGTTTCCCTGTACCTATTTTTGGATGCTGTGCTTCCCTGTGGCAGCCCTGACTAGATGATTTTCATAGAATCCCAGACTGGTTTGGGT